TCCATATATTTAAATGTCTTAAAAGTCCAAGAAATACAGTGACTCTTAAGTTCTAAATTTTGCAATACTGTTTAAAAATTATATCAAGATTTTCTTATATATTTTAACTGAAAATTATAAATATAAATAATTACTCATTGATATATTTTTTTGTTGAAATTACAAGGCTAAACTGTTGCTTTAATAACCTGCTACTACATTCTTATAACCACTATAAATATTAATGATATCAAATATGCACAGGTTCCTTATCCAGCAATATTTATCCTTTTTAACACCTTAAATTTGATTTTTTCAAACACTTCTACATTTTATTCTTATGTTTGAAATTAAAAGATGTTACCTACTTAAAAAAAAAAACTATTCCATGTCAAACAATGTTGGGGATATAATCTCAAGCAATTTTCAGGGTTGCTTTTCAGTTTGAACACATTTCTTATTGTCAAGAGATTATGACTGGGGTTTAAGTTGGGAGCTTTAGATGTCAGTGTGCCTCATGATCCTGGCGGCCACCATGTTGTGGACAGCAAAATTTAAGGAAATGGCTGATAAAACAACCTCATCTTTGGTCTGGATTATATCATTCTCTGATTCTTCTGTTGACTACAGATGTCAGCGACCTTCTCCCACGCTGAGACATTCTTTGACGCAATGTTGTATTTCTTTGGGCCAAGCTCTAAAGACCTCTGAACTTGTTAAAGATCTACATTCTTTTCATATCCCTCCTATCTCTTGGGGCCACACTCTTCTAGCTAGTTAAGTGATATCAGTTTGAGTTCTGGATATCTCTCGTGGCTTAATCTGACTATGTGGTTTCACAGACAAAGTGCTAACTGTATTTATAAGCAGAGTAACTCATGGCAAACATTTTAGTCCAATGCTAAATCAATCAGTTGATGAGCTGACCAACTAAAGGGCTCATAAAAACTAAGCATGGAAGAAAACCATGTGGGGCAATAGGGTACACCTCCAACCTCTGACACTGTTTTAAGCCATCTTTGTTTTGTGAATTATCTAATTTAACCATAATACCTAACTTCTACTGGCTTCTGTAAATGTTTTGTGTAGCCATGCATCATTTGCAACTTCATTCCTTAAACTGTATAAGTTGTTAGAATTCTTTCACATGGTTAAACTGGCAACATTCATTGCAATTTATGAATAGGAAAGAAGCAATCATTGCTTGCTATTTTCAAACCTCAAAGACCTCTCATTTGTACTGATGAATTTAAATATCACTCACCCATATTCTCCTGGCAGTTGTAACCGATGGAGAAAGACAAAGACAGCAAATGAAGAGCTCAGCTTTACCAGGAGATATGTAATTCTTAAATTTCAGAGCTGGAGCTTCTCTTCTCTGCTGAATGGGTATGAGTCCTGCCTGGGAACAAACAGGCAAGAAAGAGAACAGGACTGTCTGACTTCCTGTGCAGTAGGCATCAGAGACAGTGGAAGTCTCCCACCGGAAAGCAAAATGGTCCCTCCAGCACCTTCCTTTAGGGGCAGACAGAAATCCTTCCCATCAGTTCCCTAAAGTAAACATGGAGAGATAAAAAAAAAAAAAAGAGTGGTTATCCCTTATCTCTCACAACTATCATCTCCAAAATTTTAATGATGATATCAGTACATAGAGACATCTAAAAACGTTAGGTTTCAGTAATGCTAAATACATGGTCTTCCTATCAAAACCCTTCATAATAATTAAAAAAATCACACTCACATAAGCTGTTTTTAAGGCATGAAATCTCTGGTTTATCTCTTTGACATACACAGTACTTATTAACTATATGAGTGAGCATAAAGATAGACTTACATATGCTAAATTACTTTTTAAATTGTTAACAGCCTAAAATGTTTTAAATTATTTTGAAAAGAATCTAGGGTTATCTTCTCTGTGGTATGGAAAAGGCTATAACTGAGTAAGTCATAGGCCAATACAACATAGATCTTGCTGGCGCTGATGCTCGGGCTGCTCTGGTATACTAAATCATGGGACACTGAAGAGGAAAGGGGCCCTAGAGATGACTTCATCCAATCTCCTTTTTTTACAGATGAGTTAACTAGGAGACAGAATAATTGACATGTCCTCAGTCACAGATGATCTTAGCAGTAGACGTAGGGTTAGAAGACAAGATTTTTCATTTCCTTTTTCATTATTATTTGTGCCATCTGTGGTGATATTTTAGAACAAGACTATCAGACTGTCTTTAGAAAGACTGTAAAAACACAGAAAAACTGGTTTTTAGTGGTTATTGATCTGAGGGCACACTGTACTTCAAGATGTAAATAAAACTTAGCTATTTTTTACCCAAGCTACCACAGTTAGTTCAGGGGACATAATTTGTTCATGCTATTCTAGCTGAAATGCATTTATAAGTTAATCTGTGCTATTTTGCACTTTGGTGAATTATAATCCAGATTTTATAAATCCATATTTTATTTAAAAATACCAGAAGAATAAATACTAGATGAATCCATTATCAGCCAAACAAAGTGTTTGGTAAGATGTCATCTTTTGTAAGATGACTGTTTTTTTAATTTAAAATGATTTCTGGGTAACTAACCAATCTCTTTTGAAGGTGGGTGCATGGCCTCCTGGGTGAAACTGTCTCTTGAAGGGTTCATCAATTATTTTGTTTTCTTCCTATTTTATTTCAGAGCCACTAAATTAATTTCCTTTTCTAAATAAAAGTATCCCAACATCTTTGGGAAAAACTGTCTTTTCTGTGTTATGGTCAAGCTTCATCTCATGCTTTCTTTGAAAACTTTTAACTCATAGTGAACTCGTGGTTATTAACCCCAACGTAGGTGAGTCTTGTTTAAATCTACACAGCCTGGTGGAGGAGAAAGTCACCAAAAGAAGAATAAAATGAGAGAGACTGTGAAACTTGGGCAAACTCAGATCAGTAGAAGGACATCTATATGCCTTCTCATACGGAGCTCCATGTGAATCTGAGTAATTATAAAACTGTCACTTCTTCATATAAGGTCTCACTTTCTAAAGCATACTACTAACCACTGTCTAGTCACAATTTGAAAAATTTTATTCAGACAGAATAATAGATAAATATAAATAATTTAGGGAATAATGTCATGACATTGAACTATAAAACAAAATCATTTTTTCAACAGATAAATACAGAACTAAATTATTGTCTCACTAGGGAGACATGTTGAAAGGCATTTTTCTATATCTGTATACAAGAACTATAAATATTCTCTCTTTTGTGGTTTTGTACCTTATAACTTGCTAGAAAAGAGATGATCACTACAGAGTTGATTTATTATTGGCCGTTTGACTTCCCTATGCAGCTTTGGAGATGATAATGCAAATCCATATGATAACTAATACAAATGTATATTAAATCTGAGGCTCATTTAAATTTTATTCGATAATTGTTTCAATTAAGTGAATTATTATTTATCAATAACATCCTTACCAACTTAAAAAACTTTTTCAAGAATAGTCATTTTTCTTAATTTATTTGACCCATAATGTACTATATTTTTATAGCATAGTCAACTGATTTTTGTGTTGGTTTGTTTTCAGTTTATAAAAATTAAAATGCAATTTCTCATATTATTATTACTATCAAATATGTGAATAATATAAAATATGAAAGCTTCATGGGATTTATTATACTTTAACATAGTTTAATTTAGACGTTGGAGTAAATGCAAATCAAAACCACAATGGGACATCACCTCACACCTGCTAGACTGGCTACTGTCAAAAAAATGAGAACTAGCAAGTGCTGGGGAGGGTTTAGAGAAAGGGAATCCTTGTGCACTGTTGATGGGAATGTAAATTGGTGTGGCCACTATAGAAAACAGTATGAGGTTCTTCAAAAGATTAATATTAGAGGTACCGTATGGTCCAGTCATTCCACTCCTGAATATTAATCTGAAGGAAACAAAAACACTTAGTAAAAAAGATGTCTGCACCCCCATGTTCACTGCAGCATTATTTATAATAGCCAAGACATAAAAGCAACCTAAATGTCCATCAACAGATGAATGGATAAAGAAGGTGTGGCATAAATACACACAATAGACTATTACTCAGCCATAAAAAATGAAATGTTGCCATTTGTAACAACATGGATGAAACTTAAGTGCATTCTGCTAAGTGATACAAGTCAGAAAAAAAACAAATACTGTGTGATCTCATGTATATGTGGAATCTAAAAACAACAACGAAGACAATACTGAGCTCATAGAGAGCAGACTGGTGGTTGCCAGAGGTGGGGGTGGGTGAAATATGTGAAGGTGGTCAAAAGGAACAAACTTTCAGTTATAAAGTAAATCCTGGTAATATAATATATAGCATGGTGACTATAATTAATAATACTGTATGTGTATATTTGAATGTTGCTAGGAGAATAAATCTTAAAAGTCCTCTTCACAAGAAAAAAGTTTGGAACTGAATGTGGTGATGGATGTTAACTAGACTTGTGATCATTTCACAATACATACATATATCAAATCATTAAGTTGTACACCTGAAACTAATATAATATTCTATTCCAATTATATCTCAATTAAAAAGTTAGACTATAATCTTAGACATTGTTAATTTTGGTGCATTGATCTGAATAACTTTGATCATGTTAATTTTTAAGATATAGTAATAGCATGGCTCCTTGTTGCTCTAAATAAACTCCAGGGAATTCAGTTGACTTTAGTGGATTCAAACTTCAATGGTCAGTATGAAGTGTCTCCAAGTTATACCTAGATACTGTATTTTTGTTAACCTATCCTTTACTAAAACTGATATTGGACTTTGGATCTAAATGGCACTGTAAAAACAATAAAGATTTTTGAGGATTAAACGTACTGCATTGTAGAACTTTGAATAACAACGGCCTAAATGCTTTCTTTTGGTCAGGAACCAGAATTGGAAGTACTTTAGGAAATGGTACCATTTCTTCCTTCTTGCTTTTCATTTGTTAGCAGCAAACCCAGTAAAGCTGAAGGTTTTTTTTTCCCCCTTTCCACAGGTTTGGGATGAAAATCTTGCAAAATCTGCAGAGGCTTGGGCAGCTACGTGCATTTGGGACCATGGACCTTCTTACTTACTGAGATTTTTGGGCCAGAATCTATCTGTACGAACTGGAAGGTAGGCAGCAGTTTCACCAGTACTGTTCATTCATACGATTTTATTGCTTATGAACTCCCAGGGTGAGTGACACCAATTTCAAATAATCCCTGCAAGTATTTATTGAGGCCTCACTATGTGCCAGGAACGGATGCTTGGTCTATGACTGTTTTAGATCTCTTCAAAGATTAATTAATTTGTTAAAAGGGCCTAAAAAGCCCAGCTTTCCTTTTCCCCCTTGGAATACCCTCCCTGAGCCTGTCTTCAGCACTTGTCTCACAGAATCTTTGAAAGGATCGGGCTACATCCTGTATCCTGTCTCTTCTGCCTCAGAAAAATCCCTTGATGGTGGCAGAAGTCAGTATTGTGTGTCTGCAGCTTTCCCATGTTTGCACATACCTGTCTGTGTGTGTGTGTGTGTGTGTGTGCGCGCGTGCTGTACAAATTGTATATATTTACATATATGTGTATCTACACATACACACATATGTATATGCAACTACAGAAAAAGTTGTTCCCAGTGATAGGATAATTTTTCTACCACTGTGAATGCCATCATCCAACATTCCAAAGGCCTGTTCTCTTCCACATAGCGGAGGAAAGTCACGTGTGCTATTATTAAAATTAAAATGATTCAAGTTTAAGGAAGAAAAAACTACCCTGGGTCTAGTAGTATTGCTTCTTTTATGTATCTAATTCTTAATTGTGTATAAGACTTTGATGGAAGAAATTCTTGATGTTGGTAAAACAAGATAAAGATGCTAATTCCTGAAAGATTTGTATTTCTCTTTTTGAAACAACCAGACACATACTTAGACAAATACAGGATCACTTGCTCCAGTCCCGGGCATTTTTACGCTTAGAGGAATAGAGGATTCTAGTAGGTGGTGATGGTAATTGTAGGGCATGGGTATGCTCTTGTTTTACCATGAATAATCTGCAAAAAGAATAATTAACTTGCAGTTTAACTTGAGTCTACTACATACTGCCACCGCCGTATTCTAAGTTCTCATCATTTCTCTTGACCTCTAGATACCGCTCTATTCTCCAGCTGGTCAAGCCATGGTATGATGAAGTGAAGGATTATGCTTTTCCGTATCCCCAGGATTGCAACCCCAGATGTCCCATGAGATGTTTTGGCCCCATGTGCACACATTATACACAGGTTATTTTAGTTGTTCATTTTTGATTCATACTTTTAAAAAATGCTCTTAGTATTTTGGTGAACATGCAATCTTTTTTTAGCTCTGACTTCAGTAACGTTGCATCGGTTTACTTTCACAGATGGTTTGGGCCACCTCCAATCGAATAGGATGTGCAATTCATACTTGTCAAAACATGAATGTTTGGGGAGCTGTATGGCGACGTGCAGTTTATTTGGTGTGCAACTATGCCCCTAAGTGAGTATCAGCTGGGATTCTACAGCTGGAATCTTTGATGATGTTAAATATCTTTAATCTGATAGATATTTTTAACAGGTAAGTAATAGAATTAAGACTTAACTAATGACCTCTAATCCTCAAATCTTCCATCATTCTCATGTGCCTGAAAAATTATGAGCTGAAAGGTTTCTTTTCACAAGGATCTAAAAATTAAAATTGCAGGCAAACCAACATGAGATTTGGATGTTCACTAAATTCTCCTCACCATCTTTCTTTAGACTTGGTAATTGTAAAATAAACAGTGCACTCTCAGACTTTTGATAGCTGTATAAAAGGCATCAGGAAAGGATCTTCTAGGGAATTTATCAACACAATATTCTCATTAATCAGTGCTAGAATGCTGGCTTAACTTTTTCACTAGGAAAGCAAAACAAGTTCTTCTTTCTTCTTTAAGGGTAAAATGAAAAATCATAGTTTACTTTCTCTATAGATGGCCAAAGAGGCATTCAAAATCCGGAGGGAAATTTTAAATGCTATGACTTCTTTTTGATGAAAATTTTGCCATGACTTAAACTTCAGTATAAAAAATATTCAGTAATTTCATCCTATGGCATACATAAAAAAGGTAGTGTGAAAATTGATCAAAGATGATAAAATATGGTTATATGTATGAACATTCTTTAAAAGATATGGGTAAATAAGCACTTGTTAACATTTGATAAAATGCCTTTTTGATAACAATAACTCTTCAGATAAAATGTTCCAGTATTTATACATGAGTCGGTTCCCATTTGGAGTAAATACCACCATGTGCAAAGGATTTATGACACTCTTGGTGTCTTCCAAAGTAAGTCCCAAACAAAGATTTTCTCCAGCTTTGCCAGTATAGGGAGGGAATGAGAAAATGTTTCACAAATAACTACATTACTCATTTATATGGTAGTATGCCAGTGGCAGTGTTTTTGCAAAGTTAGAAAAATAGTGATTTTCCCGATGGTCCTCTCTTCACAGTTATTAGAATAGTAAGATTTGGAAAGTAGATTGTGGCTGCATTAGGAAATGCATTAAAACTGCACTTGTTCAATATTTTCAGTTTTATACCTAATATTTTCCTATTAAACCTTTCCCCTTCTTTCTGACATAAATAGGCCAAGTGATACCCAAATGGTGAAAGGTTTTTACTACATTCATTTAACTATTCTGGTTTTGGGCAATGGTTAGAATTTTCTAGTATTATTTATGAGATGCTTGATTGTTTTATAAGTCTACGAGATGAAGATATACTGTGTTAGTATGCTGTATCAGCTGGAATAAAGAACCATTCTTTTGAAACCTAGGCAATGAAGCAAATTTTAAAATCCTGACCGATAGTTGAATGCATTTCTTCCTATCCCAGAATGAAGTTATCTTAAGCCTGTTTTTCAGGGGAAAAAGCAGAGAAAGAGAGAGAGAGAACGAGAATGAATTGAATTAGATGAAATAGGATAAAAATTAAAAGGGTAAATATGTTCATCAATTGACTGGTTTGCTATTGAATATAATTATCCTCCATTCATGTAAAAGTTTATAATATAACATAGAGTAATTTTTGCATATAGTAGCATTGTATTTCTAAGTTAATACTACCAAAAATATGTGCTGTGTGTAATTTCCAAAAGTTCTGTAGAATAAATTGAAACATGTGAATTTAAAACAGCACAGGCTGTTTTCATATACTTTTACAGCTTTGGGTAAAGATATAGAGGGAAGTAAGATTATAGAATGAGAGAGATTAGGATGGGGAGAGAGCTGTACCCTTGGAGAATGGGCCCCCTTGAATGTTTATAAGCAAACATGACATTATCAAAATGATGCTTGAGGCAGCTTCTCTGGAAGGCAGAGTGTAGAATAAACTATATAGAAGTGGACAGTCTTGGACTCTCATCTGATTTTATAATATGAATAATTAGCATGCTTTTCATTTTATAGATAAATTCTCCTTTATAGGTTATTATAGATAAAACTGTGAATTTTCAACTGACTGAATAAGAGGATATTTTCATTAGATACATTTTATGAGTCACCTGCTTGGCCTTATTTAGGTCTTAAAGAAGACAAGACCCACCTGTTTCATATTTTAGCCTTCACCTACCATTATCTTATCTCCAACCCTGACTTTTTACTACTGACAGCCAAGTTTTCTTCTCACCACTCAATTTCCTTCACATTGCCGGCTATATTGCTATTTCTTGGAGCTGTAGTTACCAATCACCAATGCTATTGAAAATACATTACCTCCCCCTTCATAGTTATAAGAGCTTAATAACTGTAAGGCATTATGGCTGTTTTTGAGGCTCCTAAGTGGTGCCTTATAATCATAGCCATCATTACAGATGAAGAAAAACACTGACAACACAAAATAATTCAGTTAAATGGGTTCAGTGTTATAAAAAAAAACTAATAGCATTACTAAAAAGAAAACTATGATTTACATATGGGACGATGTTTTGGAATCACCTTTAATTGCTGCTTCTTTGAGCCCTTATTCTCTTACTGGATTTTCCATATCTCATTTTATAAAGATGGAGAGTCTAAAATATTTTTCAACGTTAGAGATATTCTGAACACTTAAAACCTATTTTCTGTGCTTACATATTTTGAACATTTAAAAATCTATTTTTGGGGGGCTTAGGACAACTTCTTGCTCCATTAGAAATCCATTTTTAAGCCTCCTAGAATTTTATATATACATGTAATATGTATATTATATATGTATATATTTATATAGACAGATATATATCTATATCTATTTTACTGTCTTTATAACATCACCATGAGTTAAGGAAAGGTGAGGTGAAGTGCACATGGCCCACGTGCTCTAGGAGGCTGCTGTAGGAAAGAGGCAGCTATGGTAAGTGGATGGAGTGTCAAATCCGGTGTCAGATGACTCATTAATGTCACCATGCATTGTGGTGCCTCACTTCTTATCTGTAAGTTAACATAACATTAACTTACTCAGAAGACTAGGAATAGACTTAACCATATGACCCAGTAATCCCACTCCTGGGTATATATCCAGAAGGAACCCTACTTCAAAAAGACACCTGCACCCCAGTGTTCACAGCAGCACTATTTACAATAGCCAAGATATGGAAACAGCCTAAATGTCCATTGATAGATGACTGGATAAAGAAGATGTGGTATATTTATACAATGGAATACTATTCAGGCATAAGAAATGACAACATAACAGCATTTGCAGCAACATGGATGTCTCTGGAGAATGTCATTCT